CATGGTAAGTTTAGTTGAAATACAATCTCTTTTGCTGATGATGCTGTTTGATCAACGAATTTTTTTCAAAATAAGAATTCTCCAAATTGTTTTATCTTACCATTCCATCGAATTCTCATACAAATTTATATATATATATATATATATATATATATATATGTCTATATATAGAGAGAGACAGAGAGAGGCAACTTTTATCAAAAAATGCACTAAAATCCACTAAATGGAAGATATTACTAAAAAAAACGGTTGTTAGATTTAACGTTTCTAAGGTTAAAACAATCTGGCAGCTTCCTGAATTCAGCAATAACTAACGAATAATATAACACAACTTTCAGGATTCAAGATAACTTATTAGAATAATCTGTTTGTGGCACACAGACAATTCATAATTTCAATACCTTACAAGAGGAAAATATGATTCCATGGTTATACGTTTTGCTTGAGAAGTTTCTAAAATTGCATGAGTTCACCGAAAAACAAAGAATTTAAGAATCAGTACTGCCATTTAGGTGAGGCAAGAAAAGTCTTCAAATATTTTATATTAAATATTTTATTTACGTTCGTCTCGGGATATTCAGATAAAAAGATTTGAAGCAAAAAAAAAAATTCTTCGGCAGGTAATTGAAATATTAGGTTGTGCCATATATAATTTCCTTTTTTGCTTTTCAACTTCATTCTTCAAAAGATACAAAAAGGTACAATTTTTTATTTTGTTCAATTATATATTCACCATAGTTTCACTTCCTACTCTTACATTCATAGCACACACCTTATTCAGTAACTTTCCACTTTATGTGGCTCTTGAGTCTTGTACTGAATGAACTTTATTTTTTTAAAAATATCATATGTCAATATTTCTGAGATGAGGTATTGTAATTATTTACATTATTTACATTGTTCGGACTGTTGTCTTCATCTTTATTGTCATATTTACGACGTTTTGGCCGTTGTATGCCCCGGCCTTCTTCAGGTGATTGGAATTTCGAACTGAACCATTTATTTTGTGCACCGGGGTAGATCGTTCTAGTTACAGGTGCTATTCCTCTTCCAGATGTCTCAGTTATCTCCCTTTAACTCAACTCTTCACGTTTTTGTTCACCACTGCAATAGCCAGGTATTGAAATCACAACTGTTTAGGACAAGTCACTGGACCAAATCAACACTTTTATCTACTGGGCCATGTGTCCTTGAGTTGGAATTAGAATAATCTACCCCAGTGCACGAAATAAAGGGTTCGGTTCGACATTCCAATCAACTGAAGAAGGCCGGGGTGTATAACGGCCGAAACGTTGTGAATATGACAATAAAGATGAGGGCAACAGTCCTTGACAATGTAAATAAAATCATCATATTCAAGTTTTAAGATTAAATTTAATTAGAGAACTGACGGCTGGGAGAAAGGTTAACTTATTGTCGTTTGAGATAAAAGATCATTGCTGTGGTTAAGTATTGAGCATATAACTTCTCTCTCTTGACAATCATTAGATGAGAGTTATAAACACGAGATAAATATTTAATCGATAAACGACGAAATAGTATCACTTGTTCCTGCTATATATTTACAGATTATTGATAAAATCCAAAGAAGAATCTGCAATGTTATCGGTCCTGACCCAGTGACGTTGTTAGAGCGAGGCAGAGAGGCGTTTGTGTCTGCTGTAGGCTATAAACCTGCATTGACATAAAAGTGATTTTAATGTCGGAACAGTACTCACAGTTGAAGGATCTTTTCCATTCTAAACTTAAACTATGGCATATATATTCGCTTATCGATTGTCTATAGAGCGACAATTCACAGATTAAATTGTATTTGACGATGTCATTGAAGAATTTGCCAACAACAAAGCAAGTAAAGTTACTTTGTAGAAATTTATAATTTTCATTTCAGAAATAAAGATGGTCCTAATTTTTTACACTATTTTTCCGATGTCGTGTTTACTTTTTTAACTGTTACTAAGTATATTTAAAGCATACATGCTTAACCAAGGAAAAACAAACAAAACAAAATAATTAAAAATAGAATTTTCTTTTTCTCTTCTATATTTCATCCTCTGGTGAAGTTTCAATAAAGGTGAAACATGTTAGAGTTATAACAGTTTCATAATTGTTCCTTATTCTATCATTGTCGGATTCAAATCCATATTTGGTTTATATATGATCTCAATTCATATATATATATTTATCAGTTTTTTGTACCGTGTTAAGTTCAGCGTTATATTCGCTCATGCAAGATCAACCAAGAGTCATGCTAACAATTTGAAGATTAAAAGGGACTAAGAAACTATTGTCTGACTCAACTAAATTCCTATTCCGAACAGAAAAACGATAAATAGAAAGTCTCCAAATTATTCCACTTTGTGAAAACGGATCCAATTTTATGTGTCATTATGTATCTACCGAATTCTTTACATTATTGACTGGAACGAAGTAATTTTTTTACATTAATCCAGAAAATTCATATGACACAGCTAATGAGTAATTCTACTTAAAACTTATTGTCAAATTCAATAATATGCGATGTGTCTAAAATTCGAGGCTCATAAGGAAAACAGAGCCTGTAATCTCACCTCAAGCAAGGCAATAAAGTCTCTAAGGCACAAGGGTTTTCTGAGTGTGAAAGAATATGAGAAAAACACTATTAAGGAGAGAGAACAATTTTACTTTGAACGCATTTGCCTTCAACTACAGATAAAATGTATTGTTGGTCATTTTTATATAAAAATGTATTGCTGATATTTTACTATAAAAAGGTATTTTGTTTGTTTGGAGGAGTCACTATTTGCCATAGCAGGGACCTTAACAGGTACTACCACCCGGGTCAGGGTGAACCTGGGAACAAGAAAAATTAAGAGGTGGTTCCACGCTCTTGAAAAGCTTCAATCTCCCTATCAGGGGCCTTGCTGCCGGATGTAGTTTATCGTTATACCCAGGACTTTGTATTATTGATATTGTAGTTTTAGAGAAAATGGAAACAAAAAAGCATTTTTACTTAACATCAGTTGACACATAATGAAGAAAGACGGCTTGTAAAATTTGATACTCACATGACAGATTGAAGGCAGGGAGGATAGAGGAAAACAATGCATAACCTACCTAGAGAGCTTGAGTAAATGGATAGGGGAGAAAGGTTTAGGAGAGATAACACAAAAATAAAATTTATCAAGAGCTACAATAGGAAATTGTGAAGAGCCATGATCGTCACCGTTTTGAATGGACATGGCACATAGAAGATAGGGGGCAACTTTTCTTACCTTTGTGTTTTCTCCCCCGTTCGATTTTTTTTTTAAATTTTCGTATATATTCATATTTTGAAAATGTCTTATAAACAAATTTTTATTAAACATTTAGGCTTAATAAAATTTGTACCCCGCGTAGAATATTTTTCGTTATATTTTTAGAATAGATTTTACTTCTTATTTTACTTCTGCAATCCTTTTTTTCAACACCGGGGACCTCCTCACGGATATAAACAGAAGACGTGGGCTGGTTGCAGGTGTTATGAGAGACCTCTAAAAACCAATATGGCGGCGTCGCAACATCTCCCGACCCACCAAGCTACGAAATTACGATGCCACCGTACTCTTTGTCAAGATCGTGAGAAAAGGAGGGACAAGGTAGCTCTCGTGGGGTAAACGCCATCATGGCAAGATATTTAGCAGCAGTAGAAATCTTTCTTTCCCTATTGTGAACATACTATTGTTTCTAAACCTATGAATGAAAAAAATGCAATAGCTTAAACTGAAATTGGAATAATATTGCACAAATTTTCCGATTCAAAATGAATTTATAAATATCCTTCAATTGTGCTTCCTATTATAATTGTACTTTTCTCTCCTTTCGTTAATTTGTACGACCGTTACGCCTTGCCAATACCTAAAAAAATAGACTATCCCGTTTTTATCGCGTGGAAAGAGGGAAAAAGGCACTACTTCGTTTTAGTGAGAAAATGTATGAATGAAAGAAAGGGAAGATAAAAGCGTTTAACGTCTGTTTCAGTTAAATGGAAAAAGTGAGTTTCAAATCTTTTCATTTATACATCCTTACTTTAAAATAATATTAAATAATGACCAGCATCCATATTTATGATTGTCATTGCGATATTTTGTTAAAGTTGTTAAGCTCAAATATTTGACGATGCGATAGGGGAATTTCTACAAATATTCTAATGTCGAAGAACTCGCCATTAGCTTATTCCCCCATTGACTTAAGAATTAAAGTTCAGCAGAATATTTGAAATAGGAACACCGTGAAATTTTCATGGGTTTAAACTAGCTATTATTAATGTCGTAGCTAGAAATTTACAAACAAAAGTGATGCATAATATGAGGAATGGTAAATATTTACCGAAAAATAATAAATCATCGGGTATTTTTTTTTTATTATGAAAAGGCTTCTGAACGAATTTCTCTTCCTATTTTTATGTGAATCGATTTTCGGTAATGTAAGGTTAAAAAAAAATGAAGATAAAAATGTTTGAAGCCATCGTTTTAGTGACTTGAATTATAGAGCAATTATCATTTTCGTTCAGTTCATATTTAGTTTATGTACCGGAATATCCTTGAGGTTTTAGAAAAAGAGAAAAGACAATGTTATTAATAAAAGTCGGGAAGGGAAAATACCAGTGAAAATAGATGAACGAATATATATAAATGAAATTGTTTATCTCTGGAAGAAAAAAAAAACATTAGTAAAGAAATAAAGATTTCTAATTGGTTGATGAGCGAGTTTACGGTGGGTTGGTGGATAAGAAAAATAGAAAAGAGTAATGGAAAGCTGACAACGAGCTGATTTTAAGAAAATAGCGTCCCTCTTCCTTCCCTCCCGACGTGACGAAGAAGAGCCATTCAATTTACAGATAAAACAGTCGACGGGGAAACTATTTAGCTCATCCTATCACAGGAGAGAATCGAATGAATTCCTTTTCTTCCGCGTCTTCCATAAAAAAGAAAAAAAAAACTTCCTCCTCCTCTTGCACATCCGGTTGTTACTACACTTCGTCAAAAAAGAAAAGCACTCACCTGATAAACGACTTCCTTATCTTTGAGCGTTCTAGAGCCACCCGAAGCCGTACTCTTCCGACTTTTATCCAGCTGGTCCCCGGGATATATCCCCCGCCTCGATTTTATCTGATGACTGCCACTTCGAATTGTCGTGTCAAATTCGGTGGTCCGGTCGCCAGGGACTTCAGCCCATGAGGTGTCCAGGTGAGAAGTACACATCAAGTGCTTCTGTTCACTGATGTGCTTTTTACAGGAGTTGGTGTTAGCATTTCTAGAGTTTCTGCATCGCACAAAGCAAATGGCCATAGCTGCCGTGATGGGCACAGATACGGTCATAGACACCAGCACAATGGCGATCATCAGAAACATATGGACCTTCTCATCGCCTTGGCCGTTACCACCATTGAGCATTTCGTAAGTCTTATTACTCACAGTTAACACAATAGTCAGATTTGTCGTGGCCGAAAGGACTGGAATTCCGTTATCCTTGACAATTAAACAAAAATAGTAAGTCCCAGCGTCCTGTTGGGTGAGTTCTCGGGCAAACGTTAACAGGCCAGAATAACGATTTAGAAAAAACATCTTTTTCTCATTGCCTGAGGTCATTTCGTATTTGAGAAACGAATTCTCTCGGCTGTCTTTATCAGTAGCCTTCAGGACTGTGATGTTCTTGGTGTGGTGAGCGTAATAGATGACTTCAAGTGTGAAGGGATTAATGCTGGGGAAGATGAAGTGTGGGGCGTTGTCGTTTCGGTCTCTAACTTCAACAATTACATTGACAGTGTTGTTAAAAGACGGCGAGCCATTGTCTCGAACCAGAACTTTGAAATTGTAAACGCTTTGGAATTCATGATCCAACGACACCAGAGTTGATATTAACCCGTCGTTTGAGATTTGGAATGGTAGAAAATGCTTCTTGTCATCTAATAACGAATACGACAACTGGCCCGAAAGTCCCAAGTCTGGATCTGTGGCATTGATGTAGCCAACAGGGAACTTAGATCTCTGATTTTCGTAAATAGAGAATTTTAGCGTCCGTTCAGTGAATTGTGGCCGGACATCATTGACATCCAACACTTTAATGGAAAATTTGCTTTCACTGTGCAAAGGTGGCATTCCCTTGTCTTGACAACTGATCGTGATGTCATGGTGATCTTGAACCTCTCTATCCAACGGATTCTTGATTATAACTTTATATTTCTTCGTTCCCAAGGTCTGTAGTTGGAATTTCTGGTGTTGTAAGTAACAACTGACCTCTCCGTTTTGACCAACATCATTATCAGTTACTTTCACATAAGCGATAAAGCTACCCACTTCGATGTCTTCAGAAATGGAAGCCGTGTTCCCCGTTGATTCAGAAACGAAGCTGACGTCAATGCTGGGTGGTGTGTTTTGTTGATTGATTACGTTAACAATCACCATTGCGGTCGAACTCAGCGGAGGACTGCCTCTGTCTGTGGCTTGAACGTACAGCTTGTAGGTCAGCTTTTGGCCGAATGCTATTTTCTTGCGTAGAAATATCTCTCCAGTTTCGACATTCAATTCGAAGAGCGTCCTTGCGATGCTCGAAGTCTGCGAACTGAAATGGAAGGAAATTTTACGGTTCTGATTGAGATCAGAATCAGTAGCGGACAAAATAGTGATGGGCAAGGCTTTATCATGTTCATATTTGATGGATACATTGTAAACATTCTGCGAGAAGATAGGCGGGTTGTCGTTAACATCTGTCACGGAAATATGCACGTCCAATACGCTTTGTCTTGGCGGAGTGCCTCTGTCCTTGGCAACCACTTGAATCACGTACGAGTCCTTCACTTCGCGGTCCAACATGTCTTCCAACGTGATACTAAGCTTAGATGTCCCATCGAGGTTCTTTGCGACAGACAACGTGAACGGTTCCTCTTTATTTTTCTTCAATTCATATGTAATCTGCGAATTACCAACTCCGGCGTCCTGGTCAACTGCATTTGGAATCGATCGCTTTGCTCCCTTTCTATCATCTTCAGAGAACTGGATAAAGACCTGTTTGTCAGGAAATAGCGGCTGATGGTCATTGACGTCTTTCACCATAACCTTTATCTCGAGGATTGTTATAAAGGATTCACCTTTCCGCACGGCGACATCTACCATTTTGTAACATTCCTCACTGCGTATGCAGATGGCTTCAGCGTCTAGCGTCTGCGCTGTGTACAGCTTACCAGTGCTTCTGGAAACGCGGAACAATTGGGCAGCGGTTGGGATGGCATGTTTTATTTGACTGAAGCGGATCAGCTTTCGGTCTTGGGGTGAGATTCTGTCTAGCAAGTGGGTATCAGCGGCGATGTCTCCTACGTAGGTTCCGGGGTTCTGGCCCTCTTGGACATAGTAAGTAAAGTCTACGCCAAGAGTGACTTGAAAGGCAGACAGCAACAAGCATAGTGATGACACAAACATGGTCTAACGACGACTAGTACAACGGGTATCCAATTTTGTAAAATTTCTCCCATTGAAAAACGTGGCTGTTATCCCTGAAAATATATAAAGAAATAGATTCGTTTAAAAACGCGTTTATACAATAGGGAATTATTATACAGCGAACATCAGTCTATATTTCTGAGATGCGGTATTGTAACTATTTACACTGTTTACATTGTCCTCATCTTTACTGTCACATTCACGACGTTTCGGTCGTTGGATGTTCCGGACCTCTTCACTCTAGCCGCCACATGAATTAATTAAAGAGTTCGAACCAAAATCCCAACAAATATCACCACAGTCTACCCCGTGGACTAAACAGAAGCTTCACTTCGAAATTTCCTCAAATATCACTACAATCAACCTTCGTGGACTAAATAAAGGGTTCGGTTCAAAATTCCAACAAATATCACCAAAATCTAGCCCCGTGGACTTAACAAGGAGTTCGGTTCGAATTTCAACAAATATCACCTGAAGAAGACCGGAGCGCACAACAGCCGAAACGTCGTGAATGCGACAGTAATGATGAAGACAACAATCCGAACAATATAAACGGTGTAAATATTATACAGCGAATATTTCAGATTAAAATATAGATAAATAAATACGTGACGGGCGACTGATTTAATACATGTTTCTTAAACAGGTAGAATATACTGTGTAATAAGTACTTCACAAAGAACTGCTGGAAGTGCTAGGTAACCTGGAAATACTTGGGAAGGATATTAGAATAACCCATAATCAATAATGACAACAAACCGCCTGAATACGGATAGAAAATGAATTCAGTAAATATACATAAATAGAAAGGAGTGTTAAACAAGGCAGTGTCTTATCACTGAACTTATTCAAACTATATTGTGTAGGTGATTCTGAGAGAATTAGAAGTCCTACCAAGATTCATTGTTGGCGGTCACAATCTTAACGACGTAAGATATGCAGATGTCACAATGTTGATAGCAGTCACAGAAAGGAAACTACAAGAAATTCTCCAGAATGTCGTGAAAGAAAGCGAGAAGAAACGACTATGCATCCATTTTAAGAAGACCTAATGTGTGGTTGTTAACAAAAAGAACAGCCGGACATGCAAATCACAAATTGGAGATACAAAGTCAAACAAGTAGAACAAATTAAAAAAAATTGAGAATTTGGATTGTTTTATGTATGTATATAGAATTATAAGAATGTTTTATTTTCCAAACACGGTCAGTACATTGTGGGCGTGTTCATAATTGATGTTTTTGAGTGTTGGCTTTTTTAAAAATTAATAATGCTTACATTAATCCATAGATACAGTTAAACGTAAAAATGAAACCAACTCTGATAATGGCTAAAAGTATAGTCGAAAGCGTTCGGGCATACAGAACATTCGAACAATTTCTATATAATTTATACCCAGAAAAGAAGAAAATTATAAGAACACAAGAAAAAAAAAATAACTACAGTACCTTGCTTGTCAGACGTTTTAATGTAATTATATATATATATATATATATATATATATATATATATATATATATAATTAAAATTAGAAAACAAAAAACCTTAAGGGTCCATTGATTATATTTTATTTCCCCAGGAAGGTGTTTTTTCCTGGTTCTTCAGATCACATTTCCAAGCATAGAAAAATGGCTTTAATTTACATATCATTTTTATACACTTTTGAGGGGTAGTTTTATGTCGCTGCAAGATGATAGAGAGAGGTGGAGGAGGAGGACGACAGATATGGTCGAAATTAGAGAAGGAAGGGAGAGAGAGGAATAATTTTAAGTCTATTTTTATTAAAATACTTAAGAGTAAGAGAGGCGGTAATGACCAGACATTGGCCTATTTAATGTCATCTCACAGGAAACGAGACAAAGAGAAAGAAGAAGAAAAGATATCAGAAAGCAAATGTGGAAGCAGGGGGGAAGTGGGGAAAGAAGTAAAGGAAGAATAAATTAACATATATAGGCATATTACAGTTAATTTCAAATAATACAGATTGATATATTTTGCAGTTAACGTTTGACATTAATTTAAAAATTATCAACAAAATAAAATAGAATAAAAGGAAAAATAACATAATGTGAATATAAGATAAACAAAAATATTAATATTATTAATATTATTAATAACAACTAAGGAGTAAAAAATAATAATTAAAATCTAAAATTTTAAATTCATAATTTAAAATTTAAATTTAAAAAAATCTAAAAAAATTTAGATAGTATCGAAAAAATATATAATGTAATATCGAAAAACATCGAAATGAAAACAAAATTTAAAAAAAATTTAATTTTTAAATATATATATATATATATATATATATATATATATATATATATATATATAAAAAAAAGAGGTTATAGTGGTTCTAACGAGAGAAAAGTATGTATATTAAAAAGAAGAGAAGAGACGTGCCGCAAACGTTTTTGGTTGTAATGTGTTTTTTTTTAGATACGTACGCATATATACACGCATGCTGACAGAAACACACGAAAATGGAAACAGATCTAAGAACGCACAGGGGTCAGTAAAACATTAAACGATAAAATGCCGATAAGTAATTCATCATTTCTCTTGGACCGACCTTAATTGTTTTATGACCCTTCGCGCAGAACTCTTCATTGCCAATTCAAGAAAGACATTCGGATTACTAACACAAAAACAGAGAATGTCTCATATTGAGAATATTTAACATTGAAAAACATAAAGAAAAAAAAAATTATTTTTTAATAATATGTGGAAATCTCCGCTTTTTACCTGAAGACGGTCACGAGACCAGAAACCCGTGTAGTAAAATTATGGAAAATAAAGCATAATATTTTTTTCTAAAAAAAACACATTACAACCAAAAACGTTTGCGGCACGTCTCGTCTCTTCTCTTCTTTTTAATATATATATATATATATATATATATATATACACGTGTGTGTGTGGGTGTGTCTGTGCGTGAATGTATGAATGTAAGTATATGAATACATATTCAAACAACAATAAATAAGATTTAATTGTAAACATAACCTCATATAATTAATACCTTAATACTTAACATAACACCAAATCAAACAAAAGAAATGCAATAACGGGCAAGTGAAGACATATATAAATATTTACCTTACCATTTTAGCATGAAACTATCAATGTATGAATTGAAAATTGCATGTGTATTGAATTGCAGAATAAGAGGCTTGTGCAGAATCGCCCTATTTCTGCGTGAAAATGGACATACCGAAATAAAACAAGTATAAAATTTTAAATATCTGGGAAGTTTTCTAACAGAGGACGGAAAGTGCGACACTGAAATCCGAGGCACATTGGGACAGCCAATTCCAAAAGTTAAGCAGAATATTAAGAAACAGAAAAAACTTCGTTAGAAACAAAGAAAAGAGTACCGAACTGTTACTTGATATGTGTCCTTGTTGTTTGAATATGTATTCATATATCTGTCCTTCTATATGTCAGTGAATGCTGGACAATCTCCTCAAAAATGAAAAAGAGACTTGAAGAACAGAAATGTGGTTCTACAGAAGGATACTGAGAATACCATGGAGTGAATATGTGAGTAACGACGAAGAAAATGGAAACAAAAAGAAAACGTCAGGAAAAGACAGCTGAAATGTGTAGAGTACATAATGAGGAAAGCAGGCCTGGGAAATCTGATACTCACAGGATAGATTGAAGGCAAGAGGGACAGAGGAAAACAACGTCTAACATATTTAGTGAACTTGAGTAAAAGGATAACGGAAAAGAGAAATAACAAAAAGACAACATTTAGGAAGTGCTACGAAGTACAGGAAATTGTGGAGAGCCATAATCGCCAACGTCCTGAAGGGATACAGCTCATAAATAAAAAGTTTACTAATATTATGACTATTGCTGTAGATGAGTTGTTGATGCAGAACGGGATTCTTATCTTTTGTTTCGATGTAATCAGCACTGAGATAACTCGATCTGTGGTCATTATGTTAGATCACGTCCATCTATATTAGGGCAAGTTGATTTTTCAACTTTTTTCGAAGATCAACATTGCACTCGAAGATGTGGATTAATTTGATAGGTACTGACACCAAAACTTCGATTCATAGTTTTGAGAATCTTGTTTTAAAATCGTCTGAAAATGTACAGAAATGCCTAATTTCCGCAGGTTTCTGCTTAAAAACTGATTTAAATTTTTTTTACTATTTCAAGAATAAATCCAAACAAAGTTAATATCTTTTGTTTTAGATGCACCGAGTGGAAACTATATTTAAACCAGCATTTTCATTATGAATCACCACAAGTAAAATATGATATTTTTTTTACTGCATTCGAGAAATAAAAACTGTGTGAAAAAATTGTAAAAGATTACAAGACTACTGAATGAATAAGATTTGTTTGATCATAATTCATAAAAATAGATAAAAGTGTATATAACCCCATAATATTGCTGGGCACAAATTATAAGACAAAATGTTTTAAATTTCCATTGCTAATTGAAAATCGCACGAAAACTACAACACTATAGTTAAATTGCTCAGAGTAATTTCCCTTTGAAATAAATGAAAGTCTTATCTGATGGCACAATGATTTAGTAATAATGTTCTAGTGCTACGCATCTTGTCCACATACAATTTGTAAAGCTTCAGTAAGTTAAAAATTTTATAAGACTGTGCTATAAGGCTTTCACTGATCACCGGAATAAAATTCCAACGATACAATTTCGAACCTAAAAGTAATTTTTAAACCCATTTTCTCAAAAAATGGTAACGGTTTGGAAAAATATTTTGTGTCGTTGTTTATCATGCGAAACTCCAACTTTCAAACTGAGTGCAATACCACTGTTCTAAAATAGACCTGCCCTAAAGTGCTTATAAAAGGACAGAACTGGTAGCTTAATCGTAAGAGGAAGGCAACGGCAAGCAACTGTTGCAATTGTATCCATGTTTAATCGAGATGAAAAACGAGACATTAGCAAAAGGAATGGCGATCAATCGATTTTCATGTAAATTATACAC